GAAGGTGAACACACATGACCCGTAAGCAACGGGAGAAGTACCTCGACCCAGCCATTTCGTCGGAAAAGGGGCGATCACCTTGGTTTGTCAGCCTTCCGTACAGCAGACGCAGGTCCGGGTCATTGGATTGCAGCCTGATCCACTCGTCGGTCTCTGGTGCCTGTAGGGATATGGCCATGACTGATGTGGCGCAGGAAGGGCAATCCCCATGATATCGTATTGGTCTCCGGGATAATGCATCCGCGTTCCCGTGCTTCCGTCCGGCGCGGTGTTTACTCTCAAAATCGTATTCCTGGAGCCTTTCTTTCGACCGTGCTAGTTGGCCCGAGGGGTCTCCAAATTTCTGGAGCCACGTAAGCGATTTGTGGTCTGTGCGTACAAGAAATCTATTTCCCAACAGGTACGGCCGAAACTGTTTCAGGAAATGAACAACAGCCAGCATTTCCCTTCGAGTCGTGCAATAGTTCCGTTCACGAGGTGAAAGGGTGCGACTCGCGTAAGCAATCACCCGTTCCGCGGTGTGTGGTTGTCTTTGGGAGAGGACGGCCCCGATAGCGGTATCACTGGCATCGGTGTCTAGCACAAATGTTCCCGCTTGAGATGAGCAGTCCGGGTACGCCAGGATTGGAGCGGTGCACAGTCTTCGACGCAGTTCTTCGAAAGCCTCGTTCTCTTTAGGTGTCCAAATGAATTGAGCACGTTTCTGAAGCAGGGCAGTTAGTGGTGCTGCTACCTGGGCGAAGTTCGCTACGAAGCGTCGGTAGTAAGAAGCTAGCCCGAGAAAACTTCTTACTTCATCCGCCGAGGCAGGTGTGGGCCAGGATGTGACTTGCTCCGTCTTCATGGGGTCGCATCGAACGCCGTCTTTGGAAATGAAATGACTTAGAAACCCAACTTCCCGCTGGAGGAACCGGCACTTGGAGGGTTTAAGTTTCAGTCCAAATTCCCTAAATCGACCAAGCACTTCAGCTAAGTTCACCTGATGCTCCTCTAGGGTACGGCTGTGGATGATGACGTCGTCTAGGTACACGAGGCATTTTTCAGGAACCAGGCCACGAAGTGCGATGTTCATCAACCGCTGGAATGTAGCAGGTGCATTCGCCAGTCCGAACGGCATAGTTTGGAACTTATACAACCCGGACGGAATAGTGAACGCGGTTTCTCTGCGGTCGTTTGGGTGCATTTCAACTTGCCAGTATCCGGATGCCAGGTCCAGTGTGCTGAAGAACTTAGCTCCCCTGAGGGCATCAAATGTCTCATCTATTCTTGGCAAAGGGAAAGAGTCCTTCTGTGTAACGGCGTTCAAGCGGCGGTAGTCAACACAGAGTCGAAGGTCGCCATCTTTCTTTTTGATGAGCACTATTGGGGAGGCCCAAGGAGAGTCGGATGGTTGGATGATTTTTCGAATTAATAGGTCGTCAATCATTTCTTGGAGTTGCTTCTGGTAATGGACGGGTATGCGGCGTGGGGCACAACGGATTGGACGACTGTCTCCCGTATTGATGTGGTGCTGGACGGCCTTTGTGCGTCCGATGTCGGTGTCATTCCAAGCGAACACGCCAGGACCTTCTCGAACCCTTCCCGTGTCGCAATATCAGTCTCAAACGACCAGGTCGCCGTCCGTGAAGCTGCTGACGCTACAACCGGGTCGAAGTATGACGTGCCCCCTTTGCAGAATGGTATCACTTCGCTTCCGATCGTCATATGCGAGCGTGTTATGTCAATCACGGCGCCTTGTGATCGGAGGAGGTCGACGCCTAGGATAACGTCCCAAGGAAGGTGTGGTGTGACTATCGACTGCTGCTGGACATGCAGGTCGCCTAACTGGAGCGATGCAATGACCGAACCATGTGTTTCAATTTGCGCTCCATTCGCAGCAATCAAATTCCTACAGGGTGTCGGGATACTTCTAGCATGGCGCGGGACCGCGGTCGACTTCACCAGCGAACAAGCTGCTCCTGTGTCTACTAGGGCTTGCACCTTCTTACCCCATAACAGGACATCGATTAAAATTGACTGGGTGGGTAGTGCATTATCACGAAAGGGGCAAATAGGTACGGTGGGTACAACACTCTGGGACTCACTTGGGTCGTTGTGTCCGCAAAACCGGGCCCGTGTACCAAATCGTCGGCAGTAATCACAGTTGCCGCGCTCTGTTGACCAACGAGGAACTCGGCCACGACCTCGCTGGTAGGCGCCTGCTGGTCCGGGGTTGGGCTGTGGTGGGCGGCTGTAACCCTGAGGTGTCCTGGAAGGGCCGGCAGCCATGGCGTACGACGGTGCCGACACCTGGTACTGACGTATAACATCGTCCAATTGTTCCTCCTCCCGCGCAGTATCGATCGCCTGCTGTACAGTCTGCGGTCTGTAGCGGTGGAACTTTCGGATGAGGCCGGCGTTCCGAACACCCACGTGTATCTGATGAAGAACTTTCTCTTCCCGGATCTCTCGTGGCAACGCAACGTTCACCAATCGGCGGAGGGCGCGTACACAAACATCGAATGCTTCATCGGGTTATTGGGCCCTAGTTTGAAACTAAAACTGTAAAAGCATGGGATTCTTGCTCACTGAGGGCGAATCGGAGCTGGGTGAACGTGTCGTCTGTGATTTCGTCATCCAAGATGCCATCCTGTATTACAATAGCACTAGCATATGTATCCAGGAGTGATAACAGAACTCTCCGTCGTTCGGCGGGGAGAAACAAATCCACATAGTTTTTTGCATCAGCTACCCACAGGGAAAAGTCGTCCCCGAGACAAAACTTGTCGGGAGCGGGGATGGTGGGGGCTGAATGTGTGTGTACAAATCCTCCAGCGATGACGGAAGATAATAGGGTCATTAGTTGGGATATCAGGTGTCTCAGATGCTCCGCGAGCGAAACGCTCTTTGTTAAAAAGCACGGTCGTCGGTGGAGCTCTTCATGTTCTGCTGGCAGGGTAGCCAATTTTGTAGTATACGGGCAAAGGGGTTGACGAACCAGACTCACTGAAGTCACACGAGCAATGTCGAATAATCCTTGTTCACACCATAATCGAACTGGCTAAAAAGGGAGCACAACAGTTAGATGCGTACACACGGAACAACAGTCGTCGTATAAATCCACAAGGAAGAACACAAGGTCGAGAGACGACGTGTATCGCCAACAGTAACGTGGGGCTAAACGGAAACGATACGGTGTATCGATTTTGACGTGCGTGAGACAAGTCTCTGGTACAAACAGTGAAACAAAAATACAGTCGGTCTTTCGAGTCAAATAACAATCAATATCATGTCTCACGATTCGTCTCTCGATTGGCATTTCTGTTTTCATGGCGGGCAAAGTGATCATACTCTGAAAGGCAAAATGAAGAGAGAGAGACGAATTTAGGCGGTGGGTTTGAATATGGGCTGTACACTACACAAAAACATTTTTCTAAAGTTGCGTCACGCCAATTTTGGGACATAACGTACGGAAACTCAAGCCAAACAGAAAGAACGTGGAGCCAAATAATCGCGCTGTTGAACGGCTCCCAGTTACTCGATTTATACGTTGATCTGTTGTACTGCGCGGTAAACGGTTGTTACAGTTTTGCCTTATAAAAACAATATATCAACGCCAGCAACAACTGATGAATCTAATACCAATTTACAGAAGGAAATATATCTA